TAAAAAAGCGAGCAACGGATCCTCTTCTCTGTGAGCACGCCACCACAAACATTCACATAAATATGAATCGAGGTGTTGCCTCGCAGTTCCTCGCTGTTTCTTATTAATCCACTTAGCTGAGGCCCATAAACGTTCTATATGTTGAGTATGGACCCCAGTCGATGGATCAACGAAGTTATAATGGTGATTCACCTGGAAATGATTATAGTTTGCTTCATTCAGTTGTTGGGTGTTGTATCCTTTCCAACAGTCCGAATAAATGGTGCTTCCCTCTTCTATATTATTTTTAATACATTCTAATAAAGTTTTTTGCCTTTCTGTCGTTTATTTTTATAATGAAACACTCGTCTAATACTCGACAAACTCTGCCAAACATCCATTGTTCAGGGAGAACTTTCCCTACATGATTTTTTCGTTTAGAAAAAAGACTCTCGTCTACTTCAACCACTTTCCCAGGCCCTCCAATTTTCTTTGTTGACCTGTATAACATGTTATGGGCACAAACCTCTTTTAAAAATTTGTTTCACTTTATGATACATTTGTTCGATAATTTAAGTTGCTCTTCATCCCACTTTATTCTTGTCAAATTATGAGACCATCCATAAATAAATTTTAAAGCGGTTGAAAAGGTGATCTTCAACCCCTCTAACTACGTCCCTTTCCTTATCGATACCTTTTTCTTAGAACTCTTACGAAAGCATCTCCAGTATGTCTTTCCGATGAACTACATTTCATGACCTTCATCACAATATTTCACCTTCACAATTATCCCTTAAATAGGCTATTGAATATATTCAAAACGCCGGGATAATTCCAAATGTGAAATTGTGTGAAGAAGGTCATCAAATGAAGTTAGACAGGAAGACAAAATGGAGATGCTTCGTACCACTTGTAACATAAACGTTTCTATAAGGAAAGAAACGTGGTTAGAGGGGTCGAGTATTTCTTTTTTAACGGCTTTAAAATTCATTTATGGGTGGTCCCATAATTTAATAACAATACGGTGGGGCAAAGAGCAGCTGAAACTATCCCAGCCAACTATGTTATATGGCTTGATATATCTGTATTTGATCTAGTCTCTGAAGTTTCCAAAGCTCCTGGCTCAAATCTTGGTATTTTCTGATAGTAGCCCAGTAATCTTGTAAATCACAAGTTACATTGATTGGAGGTAGGTTTCTTTTTTATTTTCTTGTATGGGATATGACTGAGATGCAATTTCTGAGTCTTCGATCTCCTGAGTCAGACCTTCAACTTATAGTGGTTCTCCTCTCCTTCCTGCTTTTCAAATGAAGATATTTGAGAATGATAAAATATTCAGAGAATAATAAAACATTAAATTTTTTTTAAATAATTGGCCTTGACAATAAAAAATATCAGTAAAGTCAATTTTTTCAAGTCGTTCAAATTTAAGTAGAAAATCAAGCGTCATTTGTAATTAAACAGCCAACAAAACGAAAACCGCTTTTAAATAAAACATCTAGAAAATGCATTTATCTTTCTAAATCACTGGTTAATTTTAACATATTTGAAACGTTTTTTTAGAAAATGCACATAATCGGCGAAAAAGTGACACTGGCATAGACGCCTACAGTCCTCTGCCAACTTATTTAGTTCTCATTAATGGCATAATTATAGTGTAAATTTTTCTGTATGTCTATTAGATATTTCTTCCACTATATAATGTATGGTTCCTTCACCTTGTATGGTTCACCATCCATCTGTTCCTTGTTATATTTTCAAAGATTTTGGATCTTCTCCACAGTGATCACATAATTTCTTTTTTATAGCAATTTTTTTCTTCAATTTAAAAAAAAAATTATATTTATATCTTTTGCTATGATTTGTCCCCATATCTAACACTGCTCTCTGAAATTAAATTATTTAGTCAAGAAGAGTTTTGAAAAGTGTAGTAAGCCTAGTTTTTTTTTTTTGCTGCATGCTGGTTTACTAGGAAGAAGATCGAACACAATAAATTACTCAGGTCCTACAAATAAAATATCTAGAGAATATATTTATCTTACTAAATCACTGATTAATTTTTAACGTATTTGAAATGGTTCTTTAGAAAATACACTTAATCAGCGGAAAAGCAGCACTGGCGTAATCGCCTACAGTCCTGTGTCACCTCATTCGGTTCTCTTAGTTATAGTGCTACTCACTTAATCTGTCTATGACACATTTCTTCCACCAAATAATGTTTCTATCAGTTCCTTGTTGTATTTTAAAAGATTTTGGATCTTCTCAACAGTTATCTTTTTTCTAGATTTTTTTTCTTCTTCCCTCTTATATATATACTTTATATATTTATATTTTTTGCTGTGATTTGTCCCCATTTCTAGCACTCGTCTCTAGAATTAAATTTCTGAGTCGAGGAGAGTTTTGAAAGGTGTGGTAAAATCTTTTTTTTTGTTGTCCGCTGATTTACTAGGAAGGAGATCGAACGCAATAATTGACTCAGGTTATTCTAGTTCACTTATTTTATCAATTAGCTTATCATATTAGATTCACATAAATCAATATAGGGTTTCTATTTCTTATTATTTATCCAATTCCTTCAAAATAATAAATCAAATAAATGTTTACATCACTAACTCTTATGTGGCAGGTTATTGAAGACATAAACATGAAAATTAGCTTAACATTTTCAAGTTTCAAAAAATTCATTTATTTTATTTACAATTTTTATATGCACTTTTGTAAATGTATGTTAATTTTTTTTAAAATTTCAATTTCAGTCTTCTGGTTGTGAAAAGCGATTTCTCACTCTCCCACCAAACCTCACCCCTCCTTCAAAATGTTAATATGAATAAAAATTTAGTCCACTGAATCATATAAGACAGGTTATTGAAGATATAAAGACAATTGCGTATGATCAAATATGAAAAATAGCTTAAAATATTTTCAAAACTTCAAAACCTGTATCTCAAAAACTATTGAACTTACTTAACTTGTTATGGTATTAAATTGTAGCATATTTTATCTAGTTTAAGCATGTATAAACTGTTTTTTGTCGAAAACGTGCTCCTTCATCATAAAAAATAAAAATGGAGGGGAAATGAAAAAAGTGCGAAAATATAGCAGTTTTTGAGATTTTCAAAAGTCATCTGGGGGGGGGGCGACGAGGTCGAAAACTTGGATTTTACATCTCAGTCACATCCCATACAAGAAAAAAAAGAAACCTTTAACTTCCATTGGATGCAACTTGACCCCCCTTTTCATGACAAGGTTACTGGGCTATATTGTCATTTCTTACACTATTACACTGTTATTACTGACATCAATTTGATCAATTGAGACTATGCCTGGTTTATTATTTATAATCATGGTTTGTAATTATAGAAGGACCCCAACGTATTTTTCTATTTTCACCCGAAAACACCTATTCAGACTTATAAAGTACATCTGGTACTTATTTATTAGTGGGTAGCATCAAAACCTCCCTTCTTATCTAATCTCATTTCACATAACCTATCTTATCTCATCTAACCTAAGTTATTCCCTTGTTTATTTTTTGTTTCTTGTGTTATCTGTGAGTTGGTGTTATTTAATTACGGATGTTGTCACATCGTGGGTTGTTGTCACACAGTATTCAGAAGAAGAGGCTATAAAATATTTTCAAGACGCCGGAATATTTTCAAAGGTCAAATATTGTGATGAAGGTCATAAAATGAAGTTCGGCGGGAAGATTAAATGGAGATGCTTTCGTAGTTGTAACAAAAGCGTTTCTATAAGGAAAGGGACGTGATTAGAGGGGTCGAGGATTTCTTTTTTAACGGCTTTAAAATTCATTTATGGGTGGTCCCATATTTTAACAATAATACAGTGGGGATTGATATTTATGTGAGTTTTTGTGGCGGCGGGCGCATAGAGAACAGGATCCCTTCCCCGCTATTTTAAATACCATAAAACTATTTTTCCTACCAAAATAAATCAAGTTAAAATAAAATTTTTCATATTTTGTTTATATCGTTTCTTCATAGTGTTTCTTTTATATGTACAAATGCTGTTTAAGTAGTTTTTTATTATTTCATCTATTTTTGTCTATTTTTATTATTTAATTTATTTTGATATATATGTTGCAATGTTTTCGTAATGTTTTTTAATTATATATTTATAATGTTTTGGTCTGTTTTAATATATATGTTGTAAAATAAAAGTTTTTTTTTTTATTACATTTCTTTCTGTTTTTGTTCACAATTTCAATAATATCAATACAATACAATAAATATGAATACAAAGATATAATAATATGAATATAATACAATAAATATGAATACGAAGAGCTTATCAGTGTTAAGGTTATAAACATTGGCAGATAGCAGTCGGACCCTACCCGCTACTAAATAAGTACCGTACATCTTTTCAATTAAAGATTTGGGATGTCGTTTTCTGGCTGAGGTAAAAATAAATATTACTTAATCATTCATTTCCTCAAGCTCCGTGTTAGTCCACTTTAGAACACCAAAAATATAAGCCAACACAGAAGAACATATTACTTTTCATTTTAAATGCTTGTCTACATAATTTACTAGGGTTTCCTTTATTAATATCAGTTAGGTTTTCCCCAAGTCCTGTCTTCCACAGAAAAACAAAAATAACAAATAAAACTTAATGGATTTTCTTCCTCTTTTCCTATTTTTGTTTTATATTTATGATGCTTATCTTCTTCATTTTTTATTTTCAAACTTACAACCGTTTTAGATTTATGAACTACCAATAGCTTGCTGAATTATTGTCAGTAGTATTGATAATTTTCTATATTATTTTGTAAATATTTATGTTGCAAATAGCAGCTCTGATTATTCAGTTTAAACAAGTATATATATTTATGCTACATAAAAGGATAAATACTTAGTTATTTATTGTTTATTTCATTTCAGTGCTCGAAATATCAACTACTTTATTCACTTTATATTTTGCTAGAATGGTGAATTATTTATTCTTTTGTGCTTGGATTCTTTTAACTTAGTACTAACTTATTGACGAAATTACTTTTACAGAGGATATTTCAAAATTGGGTGTGAGATTAAGAGTTTATGCTTGGGAAAGACTGAGAAGACAAAGATTACTTGGTGAAGCTACATTGAGTTTAGTTCAAGTAAACCTAGATCTTGAATCAAACTTATGGTTAACTATGGATCCTTCAGTTCATACTTTTGTGAGTTTATATCTCTAAGACATTTTTAAACTTGTATTTTAATATTTTTTGACGATAAGATTTAGTCCATCTTTTATGTTATTAAATTACTTACTATTTTAGAAGAACTATCACTCATTAAGCCTTAATTGTTTGAGAACTTATGTATCATGGCCAGTTTAAGTTACAGTAAAGCTTCCCTTCTTCCTGACTTCCCCCCACACAAAATACTAATCAAATTATAATACTCACAAGTTCAAAATCTTATACATTTACACCTCAAGGTTCTCAAGGTAAGGTTTAAGTAATATTCTCAGGATTTATTAACTTTTCAATTTTTACTGAAAGTAGATATTAATTTTATCAATCAATGTGAAATTGATAACTACACATTAGCTGTTAAACTATTATATTTACAAGAACATAGTTACACTTAAACAAAGGACCGTTCACCAAGCAATGCCATAACAACTCTACTCTGTTTGACCTTGCTTCTAAAGCATATGCCTTTTATATCATAAACTATGATTACCTTATTTAATATAAACATATATTTTATACGCATATTATATTATAATTATTACACTATATACAAATAGACAACTTGGATTACAATATAAACTTAACTTTTTTTCTAAACTTAACAGTTGTGTGGTAAGTGAAAGTATTGTGATACAACACAGTCGATTTTTACTATTAAATAGAAGTGCATTTTAACAGTTAATTTAGTACAATGGGTTTCAGGTTACAGAAATAATAAAATAAATAGAAGCTTTGTAGTAACTTATTTTAATTATTTTTACTAAAAATGGCCCAAAAGAAAAGACTTTCATGTCACATATTTTTTTTTTATACAACTAGAGGTGAATCTTAGCTTATTATTTAACAAATAATAATAAAAAGCTTAGCAAACCCGAAGGTTCGATGCCGACACCACCAATCGCTTATTAGACACCTCCCTCCACCGTTCGCCATCCAAACCCAGTCCCTTCAGATCGGCTTTAATGCAATCTTCCCACCTTCGCTTCGGTCTACCCCTCGGACGTTTACCATTCGGTACAGCAAATATTAACCTTTTAGGAATTCTCTCGTCACTAAGCCCAACAATTTTACAAGCCCTTTTGATTCGCTGCGATGAAATTACCTCAATTATATTACCCGGATACAGTTCACCCAATTCGGCTTTGTGTAACCGTCTGAACTCTCCGATTAACTCATCCTTCTTCGGTCCGAATATTCTACGCAATACTTTATTTTCAAAAACCTTAAGACGCTGCTCATTCCTTAATGTAAGCGGCCGGGTTTCGCATCCATAGAGAACTGTAGGTAAGATAATGGTTTTATAGATTCTAATTTATAAGTTCCGGGACAAGAGGCGCGAGCTAAGTAGTTTTGTCACAGAAAAATAACAAGCATTTTCCACCTTCAGTCTAACCTTAATCTCTTCTTCAATTTCATTTTTTCTAGTTATCGTAGAACCTAGATACCTAAATTTATCTACCTCTTCAAACGTATTACCATCTATATCGATATCACCAGTAGTATCGCCATTTTTGCAGCTAACCATATATTTTGTTTTATCCACGTTTATTTCGAGTCCTAGTTCTTTACCGGCTTTCATTAACGTTGTCGTATTTAGTTTTATAGTTTCAACGTCTTCGCTTAACAGTGCCAGATCATCAGCATAGCCCAGTACGGATGTTGTCCCCCAACCCTTTCTCGGTACGCATTACCTCCCTAATGGCATGTTCTAATGCCAAATTGAACAGGACAGGCGAAAGGGAATCCCCCCGTTTTAAACCCGAACAAACCTCAAATTTTTCGGACAGATTATTACCGATTCTAACTTTATTGAGTGTTTCCGTCAAGCACATCCTAACTAGATTTATTAGTTTTTTTGGAATCCCCTGCTCGATTAGAATATTATACAGTTTTTGATGGTCAATAGAATCGTAAGCCTTTTTAAAATCTATATACAGCTGGTGAACAATACCTTTGTACTCCAATTTTTTCTCTAATATTTCCCGTAAAGAAAATATTTGATCAATAGTCGAACGATTCCGTCTAAATCTGAATTGGTATTCTCCGATAGTATTAAATAATTAAGTATTAAATAATACAAACAATACTATTTATTAAAACCGCATATTTATGTGTACATAATATTGTCAGAATCCATATTATATTAAGCTCATGTTACGTAAACAAGCCTGTTCTAATCTTTTGGGCAAGCTCGGGCTCGCTCGTATTCCTTGGGTTTCTCCATTACAATTATTATCCGTTAGGATCTCTTATTTCTCCTTTAGTTAATTATAAAATTCTTTCATATTTTATATTTATATATTTTTATATAAAATAGTAATGTAAAATGGTTAATTATTTCAAATCAAAAAAATTAAAAATACTTTAAAGGAAGCTAATATTGAAAATTAACCATTTAAACCCTGTTAGAGAACATCAATGAGAATAAAGCCTGCAATATATTAAAAACTGCTTAATAATACATTGATATACTGAGTTCAATCAAAATTGTTGGTGACATTTTTGATAAAATCGTAAAAATGTGTTAAATTGATAATATAAAGTACCGCTTCCGGTTTGCTGATTTTGACAAAAATATTACTGTATCATCATAGGCATATAAAAATCTTAAATATGCATTTTCACTTTCATACGGCTATTTGTTTTTTAGTTAGACTGTTCACATACATACACATACGCAGACACACATGCACACACAAGACCATTTTGCGGGACTTGGTTATTTGGACTCAGGAAATCTCAAAACATGTATGTCTGTTGAAAACTCAGATTCAAAATTTTCACGATCACAATACTATCCCTTACTATATATTTCAGATATAGTGTAATATTTCTAATATTTTACAAATAATAATATAACCTCGGAAGATCACTTCATACTCTTGGGATACTTCCAAAAGAAATAAGAGGTTAAATAAAAAACAAAATTATAAGAATATTAATATATTAAACTAAACTTTATAATTATTTTATCTCAAGGTATGGGGTATGACAATCAGTTCAAAACTCTCAGACAAACTAATATTAACTACACTAAACACTGTTGGATTTAAAATAATGTCAAGTATGAATTGGCAATTTAACCTTTTTCTATATAAACTGTTTCTTTTTTTGTGGCACTAAATTCATTTTTCTTCAAATGCTTTCCAATGTTCTGCCAAACACAACTTCCAAAATGGTGACACTTTCATCTACTCACCTCAAGCTCCAACGGAGATCCTTTCTCTTGTCTTTCCAAACAACTAGTTTCTCCGTCAAACAACAACTTCCAGGATAGTAATATTATTACTAGGTTTTACTCATAGGAGCCAGGATCTCTTCTCCTATCCTCTCTTCATCCCAGCCAGACACCAACTGCTTTCCAAAACAAAATCCTTTGTTCCCTATTCTCTTTGGGATTTTCCTTTTTGGGGAAAGTACAGAGCAGCTATTTGATTTTCTCTGAACTAGTATAACTAGATTAACTTGCCTTTTAACTGTTCAACATTAATTTATTAAACCATTTTTACCAACTTCCAATTAATGTGCATATCACAATAGGGGAATGAAAGTAAAAATTTAAGATAAATTTACTTTTTTATTTTTAAAATAAGAATCTTTTCCAATTTAGTATTTAATGTGTGTATATTCATATATATATATACAATCAGCTACCTTTTGTTTTGCCACTAGTGCAGTATGAGGTTAAATTTGCAAAATGTAGGCAGTAAATTTCATTATAATTTCCATCCCTTTAACAATTCTCTGTCCTTGGTTAGTTCTTTGATTCCTCCCTTGTGTGTCTGTATTTAATCATAATTAATAGCAGTAGCAGATAGCATATTCTTATTTTGATTTTAGACAAATACTTGGTGTGGGGATGTTGTAAGTTTGGGCCAAAGTGACAGTACTGGTTCTTCAGTTAGTCTTCATCAAGGTGTTGCAGAATTATTATTAGGTTTAGCTTATAGTGGAACTACAGGAAGATTGACTGTTGAGATAATTAAAGGAAGCCATTTCAGGTAAATATAATTAAGTAATTATGAATAATAATATTATTAGAAAGTTATACATATTGTTGAAATATGAGTTTTGATAGGACATTAATTAATAAATTTATTTTAAATCTAATCTTTTAAAATAATAATAGTGATATCTGTTTGATACATTAAGATCCATCTACTATTTTTATACAATAACTGGGGGGTACTGGTGGAGGTTCTGCCAATACAGGATTTTTTTTTTTGTATTGGCCCCTATTTGTTACTGTGAATGATCTTAGCTAAATACTTAAACAATCACAATGTGTTCAATTTTTATGTTATAATGCATACACAACTACTGATTATAACCATGTCTCATGAATGAATGAATAAATGTATACCTAGTTCTGCTATAAATACTGTTACAAAAGTTGAACTTTGTTTACATCCTTGGGTATTATTTATATAATCCTTACCTTTATCAGGTTATTTTCTTTACATGTCAGGATAATAATGCCAATTAGTTTGTATTTTTCTTTCACTCAGTTAACATGGAGTAGGGTGATAAAGATAACCGTATAGCTGTGATCGCCTTACACAAAGTTGGAAATGTAGGTCAGAGATTTTCAACACTGAACTCTTTGGATATCAGCCATATGTTTGTGTACCGCACTATAAATATATATAATGAGACCCTATCTGTATGTGACAGACCTCGACCGTCTCCTCATTGTGAGAACAGCAAATGCAGTGAGAGTAGTGGCTGCTCGAATCAGAAGAAATTCTATTCGAAAAAAACAAATCATGTCTCGGGAAATCTTTGTCAGATCAATGTCTCGCATAATAAAAAGTGACCTTAGGATGGGTGCATTTCGAAGAATGACAGGACAAAGGCTAACCACTTCCCTAAAAAAAATTAGTGTGGATTGATGCAAAGTGCTCCTTGGCTGTTACATCAATAGTCTTCATCGAAAGCTTAGCAATGAGAAAAATTTTACAATTGAATAGTCAAAATTATCGTGAGTACGCACTCAGCTCTAAAGAAGCGCAGGAAGTCCTTGGAAGAGTGGAAAGAGGTCATCCTCTTCCTCAGTGATGGTTCGGTGGGGAGTTTGCTTTGATGGCACAACAAAGCTCCATTTTTGTGAAAAAGGAGTTATAACAGCTGCTAAAAACTATCAGGACGATAATTGGTAAATGGTTGACTGGCGTGGATAATGAAGAGAAGAATAGTTGGGGTGGTCAGTCAAAAAATATTAATAAAATATAATATTATCATTTATTTTTGCCTTCTTTTTTGGCTGACCACCCCAACTATTCTTCTCTTCATTATCAGGACGATATTTTGGAACCTGTTGTCAAGTCTCTAAATGATACTCTGTTTGCTGGAAGTCATTGGATTTTGCAACAGGATTGCGCTCCAGCTCACAAGGCCAGGTCAACTCTGCAGTGGCTGCAAAAGAATATTCCAGAGTTTATCTCTGTCTCAGATTGATCCTCAGTAAGCCTAAATCTCAACCCACTAGATTATTGGCTTGGGTCTGAATTGGAAAGGATGGCAAGCCACAGAGCACACCCTAACTTGGAAAGCCTCAAACAATCTCTGGTCAGAGCAGTTGAGTGCTTTCCTCAAGAAGTGCAATCTGCAATTGATGAATGGCCAAGGATATTAAATGCCTGTGTCAAGACAAAAGGGGGACATTTTGAGTAATTTCTTTTTTGTTTTACTCTCTATAGATATGCATTTTATTTTCTAATAAAGTTTTAGAAAAAATTAATTTTTCTGTTGAAATTGTATATATTTCCTTGTAACAATATTTATGACAGGGCTAGGTATATGCTCTCAAAATTAAATTACATAATTATCTTAATTATATATATGTACATTAAATAAGCATGGACATCGTCCATCTCCTTGAAATTAGCTGTACTTTATCTTGCTAGTAAAAATAGTTCAGTTCACATTTACAAAAATATAAATTGAAATAAAAGCACTGGAGTTAAATATTATTAAGTCAAAATTATTCTGTATAAACCTCGACAACTTTAATATCATATATGTATATATATATATATATATATATATATATATACACACATACACATATTCATCCACACACACAAACACACACACGCACACACACACACACACACACACACACACACACACACACACACACACACACACACATATATCATGTCCATATATTTTACAGATTACCATAGTAATGTTCAATAATTAAATTATTTTATCAGGGATGCTCTATTCCTTAGTGATATGTTCGTAAACATGTAGATTACATTCAGATTCTCTCCATTTATCATATCAAGGAACTTATTATAAGTTAAAGTATTCGTTCCAAAGTATTTTATTCGCAATTCCCTCAGAACTGGGCATACTGCAATGAAGTGATAAATATTTTCTATTTGGTTTAAGTTGCAAAGAGAATAAATACGGCTGCCGATTCTATCTATGCTGTGATTTAATTGAAGTAAGACCCCTTTTAACTTTATAATTATTCTTATAAAATGCGTAGTTCAAATTTGGGTGCAGTACATTGTTTGTAAGTTCTGATTTAAATCTTTTTACAATAAATGAAATTAAGCACCTTTCGCTTTATTAGTAATACCAATATCCCATTCCTTTTTCGTACCTGCAATTAATAAATTCCTGTTTTTATAACTTAATTCATTAATTATATCTAGTATGTGCCCCCAAAAGATTAGCTTCTGTGCCCATGATAATTTCACGATGTCTCATGAAAAAAATTATTTCTAAAGGTAATAACGTTCATGTAATTACATTTTTAATAGGACATAAAAAAATCACTTAATCACCATTTCATATGGATAGTTAGTTTTTTCTCTTTCTTTTGAAGTAATTATTGTTATATATATATATAGTCGGCTGGGATATTCGCGCAGGCTAAGGCGCTTGTTATAGGTAACCAAGTTAGCATTTGGGTGTGTGGCCGTCCACTAGGAAAAGCCACACTGCCCTAGATTCCCCCCCCTGGATATGTGAGGCCCGTCAGCCTACTGGGCTCACACTGACCGGGGGTAGGACTGATGACCCTACCCCCGTGTACTTAAATCAGGAATCGCAGTCAAAGATCTTTATGGTCTGTAGCGCCAAACAAAAAAAAAATAAATCTTTGATCCATTATTGCTATGGGGACAACAAACATCACATATAGATATGATTAAAATGAATGAAGGTACAAAAAAACCAAAGTATCGTGTAATTAAAAACATCATTTCTAAGGGTGTGCTTAAAGCAATAGTAACAGCACAGCGACATACTAAAATTAGTCAGCTATATGGTTTGAATGTCACTTGATGGCTGACATCCTTAGTTTGAGTATATCTTTGCAGTTAACATTTTAACCATGTGCTGATATAAGTATTTTTATATTTAAAGTTTATGCTTTATATTTTTAATATTTTTTATAAGAAAGGTTGATGCATTTTATTTTATTTTAGGGATGCTACATTAAATAGAGCTCCTGATACTTATGTAAAATTAAGTTTAGTAAGTAGTACAGGTCAGGAAATGACTCGCAGTAAGACAAGCATTAGAAGGGCTCAACCAAATCCGTTGTTCAAAGAAACTTTTATGTTCCAGGTAAACTAATAATAAACATTAGTAGTCTTTAATTTGAATAGAAGTGAATATTGAACACTGTTCACTACCTTTTCAATAATGTAGTGGTATAAACACTGATGGATTATTATTTGGTATTTAAAAATATCAAAAAACTTGAACATAGAAAACTATTTATTTTTCACAAACTGGATAAGGATCTGAAAAGAATAGATAGAAACATGTGTAAATTAGATTATTTGTTTGCTCATTCCCTTTTTACTCTTCTCATCGGTGGCAGCTCATGATTAAAATTAGTGAGGTTGCTGCTCTAGAATATTTCTAGCCTTTATTTGTGTTGTTGTTAGTAACCTCTTTTTCAACTGTAACATTCTCATGGAGAAATAGATGTGAAATCTTAAGTTGTCAAAGTTCAGTTACAGTCACAGAACGTATTTCTTGGGGATGCATGGTTATACGTATACATTTTATAAAAAATGAATAAGACAGGAAAAGTATTAACAAAATAGAATAGTTTTAAGCAGTATAACAATCAAATTCTATGCTTTTTAACATATAAGATTATGGCACATAATTCATAAGCAGAACTATGTGGAGAAAAAAAATTTCATACCAAACAATAATTGAATAAAATAACAGGAACATGAAATTCCAGAAAGATTTCTGTACTATATTTATAAGTTGTATTGAGGTCTGAAGTATGATAGTGAAGAATTATAAAATTTTAATATTTTTTTATAAGATCTATTTATTTGGTCATTATTATTGTATTACAATATAATAAATCAATTTTTAATTTATTGTGATTTTAATTATTGTAAATTTAGCTTATTTATGATAGAGCAAATTGGCCACAAGTAAATGAAGATAAAACAAAGTTTATAATATGACCCGAAAGGTCTATATCCCAACAACAGACCAAAAAGGAATCCATTCCTGAGCGTAAACAGATTTAAAAACCTTAGCTCCACAATAATCTCAATGAATGACCATTGGTCAGAAGTAGACCAATCTATAACAAGTGCAAACAGAACTTTCTTCTCTCTTTCAAAGACATTGAAATCTCGAAAAATCTAAAATTAATGGTGTACAATCTTATGATAGAGTCAATTTTAATATATGGTTGCAAGACGTGCACAACGACCAGCACCTTAGAAGGAAGTATTGCAACATTTGAAAGAAAGGTACACCCCACCATACCCAGAGTGATTTGGAATCTGATCCCAGGTACTAACAAATGAAGGAGAAGGACCAATAAAGAACTCCTTATAGAAACTGGTCAATCAATATCTCATTATATGAAGCTAAGGAGGTTAATACGGGCGGGCATGTAGGTTGGAGCAATCCATCTCTACATAAAGTCTTTACACAACAATGAATGCCTCACTATTATGCAAGAGATCATGTAGAAGGCCACAAACCACATGGATAGATCAAATCAACAAAGATACTGTAGAGCTGCATACAGACTGCTGGCAAGAAATTGCTCATTACAGGCAGATGTAGAGAAGACTGGTTAAGGCAGCTAAAGATTTACAATGTCTGTAAACACAACAGAAAATGTATATATATATATATATATATATATATATATATATATATATATATTCAATGGAAAGTTAAAATTAATTGATATGTAATCGATACGCTGGAGAGTTTTCCCAAATTCGATAGTATTTAAAAAAAAAAAAAAAAACCCTGATAACATAAATTATAGACCCCTAAATCGAAGAAAATATTTGTAATGCAGCTCTGAATAAATTGATTTGTTCGGCACAGCTCTGGTTTGAGCTTCGAGGAGAAAGCAAGTATGATGGGGTATGTTGATTTTCATAATTGGAGTGGTGGTCTTATTTTATTGTGAAGAGATGTGCTGTGGTGAGAGAATAGAGAAATAATATCTTAATTTTGAAGTCCAAGTTTTAACATAGAAAGGAAGGATACTTGATGGAAAATAATCATTATGAACTGTCAACATTCAATTAATAATTTGTGAATAATTACATTATTATTAGCATCTACACATAAATAAATACACGGACAACGTTACTTTATAGAAAAAATAGAGAGAGAAAAGTAATCATCACTTAAAAAAAAAATATTTAGTTTGTTGTAGTTATCTTATGTTATACAAGATATTATTACATTAAATATTTATTATAATTGTCTACTGAATCACCATAAACTGTTGTGTCATTGAAACTAAATACTCATTGTTCTTTTATCTTTTAGGTAGCTCTTTTTCAGCTTGCTGATGTCACATTAATGGTATCTGTATTTTGTAAAAGACCAATGAAACGAAAAGAGATGTTAGGATGGTTTTGTCTTGGACAAAATAGCTCAGGTGTTGAAGAACTCTCACATTGGCAAGATATGTGCCAGATAAAAGGAGAACAGATTTGTCGTTGGCATGTTTTAATCGAAAAATAATCATTATGATATTGAAAAGAATTATTATTTCATTTGGGCTCTATAAGATGGAGAAATGAATTTAAAACCAGAGATGAATGCATTTCATAAAAACTTGTAACATTTTTTACCTGTGACAAATTATTATTTCTTAAGCATAAAAAAAAATAATTGTTGCCAGTTTATATGCATATTTTTAATTATTAATTAATTGAGCTAGAAATGAAACTATTCCCACTCTTCTTGTGCCTATACCTTAATTGTGGAATTGTGATAAATTGCCTCAATCACATTTTGAATTGGTAATTGTGTTTTAATTGATTATATTACATAAGAAATTTTGAATATACATAGCTTCTTTCAGCACTATTCCATTAGAGAATAATATTTTATTTGATATTTTCCACAGGGAAACATTTGTACTGAATTTATATACATGATTGTTGATTATTCTTGCATACTTATATAACTTTTTTAATGAATCATAACATACCTATATACTATTTGTCAGATATTATTGATTGTCACTACTTGGTATAAATCATAATATCACATTTTGATATTGGATCGACTTTTTATCAATTACAATTTATTATCTGTTGTAGAAAATGAACTTTGTAATTTATTAGAGTACTATCTAACTCATTGTGCAGTTGATACTGCTGTATTTTAAGCTTGTAATAGTTCCCTTCCAAGAAATGATGATATTTATGATTATGATAATCACTAATTATACTTAAATCTTTCTTGTTAGAGAGAAAAGGGGAGTGGTTGTAAAAATAATTAAACTAACATCTTGTCTTTTAATCATTTACCTATTTATTATATATGCATAAGTTAAATTGATATATTTAACTGAATTCTATACTGAGTAATTTTGAATGTTTATTTACATGATTTGTAGGATAATATTCATTACATGATGTTTTAAACAATTTTTTGTATATAAAACATTTGTGTTTATACCAGCCATTTATTTATTAGTGTGACTCATACATTTATCAATAACTAAATCTGATATGTTTTCTGAGATTAACAAAAAGATATTTTTTAATAAGTTTGATTATACTTAATTAAAAAAGAAAACCAACATAGAGCTTTTGGCGTATAAGATTATATATATTTTGTTGCTTTTTATTTGTTAATTGTTTTCACATAGATTTATTAAAAGTAAGATTACTTTAAAAGATTATTTAAATAGTATGCCAATTTACAATTACTATTAAATGTGTAAAATTGCAATTTTGGTAATATAATATTGATATTTTGAATTTATAAAAAATTTACCATGTGCAATATATTTTTGTTAAAAAATTATATTAGAGCTTTAAGGTTATTACTGTAAATATGCATTTAGAAAACCATGTGTAAAATTTTATAAATACTTTAACTATCGCACAAATAAGAAAAAATGGAGCACAGGTAATACTTAGTATCAGTTAAATATATTCCCTTTTTAAGCATTCTTAAGCTTAATGACTATTGAATTTCAAGATAAAGTTTGATATATGATACATTTTGTCTTTCGTATAATTGTACAATTAATATTGAGAGTTGTCATATTTTTTATATTTTTATATATTTCATTTTATTTTATTTAGTAATTCATTCATTTATAATTTAATGAATTCAAAAATACATTAAATTTCTTACATGATATATAACTTAATTATTTGTGATACAATAAGGTCTCAGTTATTCAACTTGATGGTTTCCTTTCTCATCATTTGAGTAATTAGTGCCCAGTAGAGATTATGGTATTTTAAGAAAAGCATGGCACAGGTTATATTTTTAATTAAATTCTATGAATTTTGCAATAAATTGTCTGATTTAAATAATATTGATTCATTAATATTTTATGATTTTGTTATTCATTGAAGTTAAAAAAAAAATTTTTAGTGATCAATTATTTAGATAGGAGAAACATCATGGAAATTAGATCTATAATGTTGGCCAATGTTAGTTATAGGATCAATTAGGCTTGATACACTAAACACCACCATACATGTCATAGTACTGCTTTCGTACTTACAAAGACACCATTTTATATTACTAAAAAAACTTACATTGCAACAATGGGCATTACATTTGCATTGTATGCCTTATTTCTTAATATAATAAATTAAGTAACCTAAGAGAGATGTTCAAACATCATTGAACAAAATAATATAAGAAAATAACGGATATTAAACGAGGAAGGATATTACATGCTTTATCAGTACAACATGGTTAAATATTCACATATGCACATACATGTATTTATTATTAGTTGTTTAGATCAGAGTTTATTTTAGATTAGTTATAGCTAACATCACTGCACTTTAATTATAAGAGAATTGATGCCATGCTATCAAGACTATGATTTAAAATTATTGTTTTGTTTGTTGTTTATTGGGTTTGACATTCTCATGCACACCAAACAGAGCAGCACACACAGGCTATCTTTTGGATTTTTGCATTATTTTAACTAGAGTTGAAAGTTCAAAATTTATTCCGTGGGTCTGTCACAAAATAGAATTCAATATCCTTTTCCCAGTTCCAAATCCAGCTATCGATAGATACTTCTTTCTCCAACACCCTCAGCTACAGATTTCAAAATCACTGAGTACTTCATTATCTTATGAACTTTAGAGGAATCAATTTCAAAATGACACATATTAAAGATGGAACAATATTTTCAATTAAACTATAGCAGGGGTCTCCAAACTAGAGCACTCGTGTACCTTCAATCTACTCTGTAAAAATTTCTTTGTTCAAATGGTGAAACTTTTAAAATTCTTTCCAAAATATGAAATTTAGTAATTCACTCTACCAAAAAGTTAATTCAACTTTTATTGCATGAGGTTTTCCTCTTGAAAAGCTCATTTCACTACTGAAAACCATCATTTATAGAAATATAGCTTAGTTTTAGACAAAATTATTAAAAATCATTGTTTGTAGGAAAATGTATTCGACCACATCACTTAACCATATTATTAAGTTGTGGTACTTACTAATTTACATAAAATGCAACTTTCTTTATATTTTAAAGAATAACTTTTTCACTTGAATGCATCATTTAAGAGCTACAGGTGAAAAACCAGAACCATTTCCTTAAAAATAAAAAACACTTAATAAAAATAAAAAAAAATTTCTGGTTGCCATAAGCTCTCCTGAGATAAGCTGTGTTATCTTTTGTTTTTTTTAAATGATCGCACACATATATTAACAAGTTAAAAAAATGAAAACTTGGCATTTTTTGCTGCATTACCCCTGTTTCTATTCTCAAATGTCTGGCCCAATATTTTTAACTCAGCAGCTTTATAATGGTAGACAAGGTTCTTTCTACTTAAACTAATATACACTTTCGTAATTCACATTCAAATCTTCTTCTGCTTGCTCCTACAATATCTGTTATATATTGATAACCTCCAAACCTACCTTTCCTTCCATCCTACCGAGATGCTTGAGGTGACACAAAGGCTATAAGAAGATATAGACAGAATTAATGTATGGGCATTAAGCAATGTTTTGGGGTTGAACGTTGAGAAGATCAAAACCATCCTCATTGGTTCCAAGATTCTTATTGCTTAAATTCCTTATTATCCTCTACTCTTTCTTAATCTACCTATTTGCTTCCACACTTCCATTAGAAATCTTGGGGTAATTTTTGATCAGTACCTGTCCCGGTATAATCATATTTCCCAAATTATATGAAAATCTATTGCTACTTTCAAAGAGTTCCTGGCTACAGTTCAAACATCTATGATTCTATGAACCTTAGAGCACGCCAGATCCTCTCATTTTTCCCCAATTTGATTATGACTGCCTTGTATACAGTGGTCTCTCTGGTGAGCTTGAGTTCATAATGAAGAGCCTAATGAATTGTTTCAATAGATACATCTTTGGAGTCCCCACTTCCCAAAAAATATTCAGATTGCTGGATCAACCAAAAATTGTTGTTTTGTTTTTAAGAATCAACTATAAAGAGTTTCTAAATTACTGTTTTAGGAATTAAATAAAAACCATTGAAGTTTTTTTGCCAATGAATGGATAACATCGATGTTTGACTTTCAATGTTTTGAATATCTATAAATCAATATTTCTGTCACAAGTCATGGCCCTCAACACTTTGTGGTGGTCTCAATGTGTCCCTTAGCCCAAAAAGTTTGGAGAACCCTGATCTAAAGCATTAGCCTTCAGACCTTGCTCATGATAATTCAGAGGAATTGAAAACACACATATTTATGCATTTATATGATTCCTTAACAGCCTTTTACTAAAAAATTCCATTTTTCAAATATTTTCCTGTAAAATATCTGTTTTAAATTTGTTATTATTATAACTTTGCATATAAGTTAATGTTTGAAGTTGTAGGATTTTTTAATATCTAAAATGATAATATATATACATGATTATAAAAATGCTATATATACACACATACACCATATAGAGAAACAGAAACATGATATTTATAAATTACTGGGTAAAATATTGAATACAGGATATAAAAGTAAATATTAATAATTTTTATATTTTAATAAATGATGCTGTGAATTTAATATGTTTCTTTTTGAAAATATTATAATAAATAACTGATAAAATATATTTTTATTAATCTAAATATTCAAGTTTTTAATGATTCATAATTTATTTTTTAAAACGGTGAAAACTGTATTGTGTTCATCTAATAATCAATCATAAATATGTCATTTTAGCAGTGCAATTTCATTCCATTTTTTAAAAAATGATTGTCATTAATGCGTTAATTAAATATTTTAAGTGATTATTACAATTTTGATAAGACATTACATTAATAGAAAATAATTGTAAAGGTGATAAATTAAAAAAAAAGTTAAATATTATTTTCTTTAAAGTTTATTTAAAAATAAATGTTTGGCAACATTTACATAATTCATGTGCTTATTTCATTTTCTAATTAAGTTTTTTCTTGAAAGTTTATTTCAAAATTAGATATCTGATAATGATTCATCAATTTTTAAAAAATTCTTATAGATAAATATAAATAAAGTATGTTCATGAATTTGTCATTTTTTAATACAGTTTATAAGTATAGGCTGATAATGGACAAAACTGTTAGTAGCGCTCATTAATTATCAGTTATAGCACAAGCGGATTCAGGATATAATTTTGAGGGGCTTTAGCCCGTTTTTTTCATAAATATAACTATAATTACTTTGAAAAAAAAAGAAGCTAACTACCTACATGAAATAGTGTTTAAGTGATACTTGAAGTCCTGTTAAATGTAATTAATTACACGAACAATAATACTTTAAGAGCTAATTTTTAAATATTTTTTCCATAAAACAGGTTTTCATTTTACTATTTTGGGAGAAGGTGGGTGGGCTTCAGCCCGAAAGCTCCCTCCATCTCCATAGATCCGCCTGTGAGTTATAGAAATCATTTTATTGTGAATAGTTTGTCTTAGAGGAAGTTTTCATAAGTTTATCTACAGTTCTGTTGCAATGGTCCATTAATAGTCTAATAGTAGTAATTTACTTTTTACTGATTTTGAGTATTTTTAAAAATTATTATTATTATTATTTACAGTTTGATTTATAATTTGTAATTTTAATGAAACTAAAATATATTTTTGATAATTTTCCAATTTAATTTTGTTTAGTTTGGAATAAAAATGTAGTTTAACTTTGAATATTTAATTCTGAGCCAATCAAACATTAGTGAGATATGACAATGTTGCAATTAACCTTTATATAAGGTGACCAGATGTCACGCTTTTGTTGGGACAGTCTCGGTTTAGGCGGGACAGTCCAAATTTTTAACATTTTGTGCCACGTCCCGCTGCATTTTAAAAAAGTCCCGGTAGGAAAATGGAAGGAGCATATATGGCTTTCAGCAGCCATGTAGCTGTTTCTTCAGGATATGAGTTTTATAAAATGTTTGTTAATTTTATGATGTTAAACTTTAATAATAACGAATAATTGTTGAGAACTGATTACCCAAAACTGCTAAGCAAAGTTCACATTGATGATTAGGTTTTAGAATTTAATCACCATTGTTTGGACTTAATTAACAACTCCAAAATGATCCTTTTAATGAGGTATCATTATTAACAATATATACTGATAAG